ACATACACACACACACACACACACACACACATGCACACACACACATTACACACAACACACATCACACACACACACATACACACACACACACACACACACACAGACACACACACACACACACACACACATACATATATATATATAGATGGATATTTAGATGGATGGATAGATGGATCAACAGATAGATATAGAGGGTTGGGAAGAGAGAGAGAGAGAGAGAGAGAGAGAGAGAGAGAGAGAGAGAGAGAGAGAGAGAGAGAGAGAGAGAGAGAGAGAGAGAGAGAGAGAGAGAGAGAGAGAGAGAGAGAGAAAGAGAAGAGAGAGAGAGAGAGAGGCGGACAGGCGGATAGATAAATAGGCAGAAAAACGTATAGGTAAATAGCCGGATAATTAGATATGGATCTAGCCATACCAATACCATAAAAATAACACTTCTATAAATAATAAAAAAATATATATATTTATATGGAATTACTCCATAGAAATATCTTTATAAAATATCACCAAGCCAAAAAAATAAATGCTTAAAGTAATAGAAAAGACAAACAAACAATGATAATAACAATCAATAAAAAGCACGATAAAACAAAACATAACGGCTTCTTATTCTTGTCCATTTGATTGATCTACAGCAAGCTCCTCCCCTTTACTTACGTTTTGCGATAGAATGTAAAAAAAAAAAACAATAAAAAAAACTAAACAGGGAACAAGGAGAAAAGTATGTATAGAGAGAACGAGAGAGAGAGAGAGAAAGAGAGGAGAGAGAGAGAGGGAGGGAGGAGGAGGGGGAGGGAGGAGGGAGGGAGGGAGGGAGGAGAGAGAGAGAGATAGGGTGGGAAGGGAAGAAGGGAAGGAAGAATAAGAAAAAAAAACGAGAAGGATTATTTAGACACAGACAGAAAAAAATGGAAGAACGACAACTGAGAACAGCAAAAGCGAATAAAAAGAATAATAAAAACAATGATTAATACTTGGCAATGAACTTGGTTAATGAGTCACTGAAGAAATACGTTTATGCTTTTAAATTATTTTCTTTTTCTCGTCAATCGTGGAATGAATGTCCTTATTTTATTCATGTATCTGATCGTATAATAATAATAATAATGACAATAATAATATCAATAATGAATAACCCCTAATAAATAAGTTTTTGTTGGTTTGTTTTGTGTGTTTTCATGTGTTTGTATGCGTGCTGTAAAAACAATGGAGTTATATAAAATAAAAATAGATAATGATAATGATGGTGATAATACGATAATGGTGGTAATGATTACGATGATTACGAT